ACAGAGACAACAGAACAATTTTTCTGTATCTGTCAGTGTTACTTCATCAGTGATGGCCTGCATGATTAGCATGTCACAAATATGGTATTTGGGCCTTTCGAAGTTGGCAAGATAGTGGCTAGTGAAAGGGATTGAGGACCAGTAAAAATATTAGTGTTCTGGTCCACTTGGCTAGTTAAAAAAAACCTTAAGGGAAACCCATGCATGCAAGCATGAGTTAGACTGTACTTGTATTGGCAGCTTTCCATTCTGCACGATTCAGTGCAAGCTCTTTTACATTTATTTTGTACATTTTGTTGGAGGTTGATTCATGCTGCATTCATTTAAATGTTGTATCATTATTATGTATTATTGGCTAATTGACAATTTCCTGTCGTGGAGTTGATGCGGTCCGTTGATGCTAGGCCTAGCTAGGGCCTGATTAACTAGCTTAAGTCGGCTAGGCCTAGGCTAGGCTTAAGTATATCAATAATCAATGTTGTGAACAGTTTGTGCATTTTGCTTATTTTGATGCTGTTTCATACATAGCGCTGTGCATGTATTAGGCCTAGGCTATGGCTATACCATATTCAAAACTACTCGAGGTTTCTTTCATCAATTGTCATAAAATGTGACATCATCATCATCATCCTCATTAATTTATAGTCTATTTTTATTCCATGCAAGCATGGGTTAGAATGTACTTGTAATGGCAGCTTTCCATTCTGCACGATTCTGTGCAAGCTCTTTTTTCAATCCCTTTGCACGAAGGTCATCTCTAATGACGTGAGCCCAGTTTTTTTGCAGGGTCTTTAATTTATTTATTGATACTAATTAAATTATTAGATTATGATTTAACATATGTATTTTTTGGGAGTTGTACAGCAATTCCAAAATCAGAAAATTTGCAAGTGAGTGTGCCAAATTGTGATGTAACTTAAGGTCTGTGCAGGGAATGTATCATTTGCACAAAAATTTGGCCTAGAAATCCATACTTGCATTTCAGAAAATAAGGCCCAATTTCCACACAGATTTTTGCCAAATCTTATACACTAATAATAATTCTGTGCACATATTTATTTTCCTGGCGATTTTCCACGCAAATTTGAGCTGGTTTTTGAGGTATCATCCACGCAATTAAAAAACTTTACAGTATGGTGTGTACAGTATGTGTGTGGAACACGATCGGTAGCTGCCGTGGAAAATATAAGAATAAAAAGAGGTCCTAGGCTTTTGACCGATTTTTCATTTGTTCATCCAATACTTTATGTCAATTTCTGTATTTTTTTAGTTGTCTATTTCTGTATTTTTTATATTCTAACACTTGTTAATCATATGCAATTCAGCCATGTGCTGCATACACGTTACTGGAAGATTGAATAAATATAGAGTACCTCAATGTAAGTCATCATCATCCTATTAAAGGTTTAAATTTTTTTTTGACAGACTAAGACCCCAAACTACATAATTGTTAATTTCACACCCCACCACATCCCACTCCTCACGTGACACCTAGTTTCGATCCCAGCATATCTACATGACCCCCACGTTTCTACATATCCCCGTCACACTGGTCACATAGCTTCCCTTCAACAGAAGAATAAAATACAGTAGTAAAATACAGTTGTATCAAAAAGTGCAAATCGATTAAAATGTGCACGACCTGGACAATTTGCAAATTGTCTGTGCGATTTAAAACTGTGTGACAATCCCCTTGCACAGATTGCAAACTGTGCAGAATCTTGTACAGTTTTTAAATTGACATCAAAAGTCGATGTGAGGTAAAAGAAACGGTACAGAACACGTCCTTATAGGCCTAGATTGGATTTATCCATTTCGTAACATTGTAACACAGTACATTATTATTAGCCGTGGATATTGTTCCGACAATCACTTAGAGGTAAGTAAATCAGAGGTGTTGATTGGTGGAGCTGGCGTGAATAATATCTGTAGTGTACATTTTTCAGTTCAGTTATTAAGGAAGGCCTAGGCTAGAATTAGCTAAAAGGTAAGGTTAGGTCTACAGTATAATTACAATAATTATAATTGAAAATTTAATTATTTAATATAATTACATTTCAGGAAGGCGAATATCAGTGGTTATTACAAGAAGAGGTCCACAGGGTGTTAAAGGAACTCAAAGAAATGCTTCATGTAAGTCAGTCCATTGTGGAATTAAAATATTAAAAAGATTTTTTAATAAATTTAAGATACTCCCCTTTTATTTTTAGCTAAATTGTTAGATTTAGATGTGAATTGTATGTACAGTACAAAACTTGTATTTAATAAGTTTGAATATTGCTCTTGTATTCTACCAGACCTAATGCCAGTTCATTTTGTATTTACTGTAAGGGTAGCAAATGTTTCAAGATGGCAGATGCCACATCCAACAGATGGGATTGTTGCTCCATTGGTAACACATTGTCAGTTAACTTCAGGCACAGAATTTTTAATTAAATAGTGGATGCATGCAAACATCATAAATTTGCATGAGATATGTTAGTTACCAAGAGGTTTTTGCTTACCGGTTGGCAGGGGGAGGAGGGAGAGACCAGATTTCCTTTATCACAGAAATTTAAATAAGTGGCAAGGCAACAGTTGTGGTGGTAACTGTGGTATTGGTGGCAGACATAAAATATGTTTTCATCATCTCTATAACAGTAGTGAATAACATACACAATATGTAAAATTCAGGTTTCAGATTAATAATAATACTACACAGACAGGTTAATTTAATCCACAACAATACACAAAGCTACCATCAAATAAGCTTACAACCAATCACACAGTAGAGATTTTATAATAATAAGCAGGTGTTGAAGGATATAACGTTTTTATGCGAGCCAACAACAAATTTCACATCATCATGGACAGCTTTTTAAATGCAATTATTTTATATATTCATTTATTTTAATAATTGTTGTGATTGATAAAAATAGTTTAATATTTGAATTGTTTAATGGCTTATGAATCCAACTTTGAATTGAAAATTAGAATAAGTATTTTTCCCTTGCAGTTAACAATGCATTATTATTAAGGAGTTACAATATATTATCCTTTATTCATAAAAGAATATTCCAGTAACTTGAATGGTGGATGTGGATATATTTTTCTCAATTTACTATCACTAGTAGAAGTATTTCTTCCATACTGAATTAATATCATGTTAATACTTATGAATTATGCTTAGCAAGTTGTTAATGTATTTTTTGTCATTTTCAATTTGATCGTCTTTAATTGTTTTATTTTCTTTTCAAACAGGAATGTGGAAAGAGGTTTAGGACACAAGCCACAGGTAAACTTAAACTCTTTTCATTATTATGTTTTTTTTCCCCTAAAAGTCAATAAAAAATACCTTGTGTTAACTAGCTTTTTTAAACCAATATGTGAACATTGTCAGAAGTTGATAATAACACCACTTGAACCTAAGAGATGGCACTTAACATTGAGATTCTTGACGCTTGTAGAACTAAATGAATTTACCATCTGTTCATACTTGGGGAAGAGTATTATAGACCAATATGGTAAAGGGTACTATAAATAATATAATATAATAAAATAGTAAGTAATAATAATGATCATATGGCCAAACAATGTTGACCATATGTTGCTCATGTACTGTATAGTAGGAAATAGGTCAGTTGGTCATGATTTTGTCTTACTAAATTTGCAACTTCATTTTAGGTCAAAAGTTTAGAGTTCATACAATAACCAATGTCGAAATATTGAATCCCGACACGATACAGTGACCACCTACTGTATCACTCAGCCAATGAATTTTCATTGGTAAAATGGTAACATGGCTTAAATCCAAGTTTTAGGTATTACAAGGTAACTTGAATTAAACTTTGAAATGTGCATTTTAAATTTCAAGTATCTGAATCTAAAAGATAAATATATAAATTATAATACAGTATAATTAAAAATCATTCTTTATTGTGAAACCAGTTTTTTAAAAACAATGTTTCAACAAATAATCATTTAGTGTCAAAATAAAGTTGTTGGAATGTGCATTTTTTCCCTTGTTTACAGTGCAATACCTTGATCTTCCTAAGATCTGCTTCATTGTTTACCATACAGTAGATCAAATTACAAGTGAAAATATTTGTTTTTATATCCTATTTTATACCCACAGTGGATAACATTTTTAATAGAGTACTATGTACTTTGGAATCATCGTTTGTTTGTTTTCTTATCATATCTTGCTTGTCCCAAAGGTCATGATGTCGATCCTGTATTCTATAGCAATGGTAGGGTTCATAGCATTTTAAATTCCAATACCTTGTTTGAAATGATTGTAAATGCTTGCATAGAAAACCATCTATCACACTTTGGTATTATATTATTTATTGTACCATGCAATTTTTTGACAGTTTTCTAAAAATTAACTTTTCATTAAATTTTACCATCATACAAATATGCTCTTTTTTTCTATTGCTTGTTGTGGCACGTCTTCACCATCAAACTAAATCTGTACCTTCCAATGCAATGAAAGCTACAAAGATATAAATTTTATAATTAACTTAAAAGTAAACCAGTATGATATACAGTACACCTCTCCTCCGTAAGCTAAAGGGTCTGTCACTAAACAAACTAGAATAAGAAGTCTGACAGGGAAGATTGCAGATTGTGTGTCTTCTAGCCTTCAAGGCAGCCTCGCTGCACTATACTTGTATTTGATGATATACTTAGTGCCGTAAATGAAATTAATTCTAGATAGCCATCCCTACAAACAAACACCCTAATGAGAACACTACCCATAAACCCTTAATGTTACCATCAGCACTTGATAACAAGCATAATTCAGTCAATACAACTTCTACTAATCCAAAATGTGGAAATGGAATTTTAATTTCTTTGCCCTCAAATCTCCTCTATTTATTAATACCGTTCATTAATCGTATTATTATAAACTACTAACCCTTTTTATTATGATACTTCACAGCCACCAAAACCTAATAAACAACCTTCCTCTGTGATAGTCAGCCCATGAAATTAGGAAAAAATTAGGTCGGCATGCCCAGAATGATCTATCAGGGATTTTCCACACATGTACCGTAGTAGTAGTGAAGTCACAATGCGATCGTGATTGCGTTTAAACGGACAGTAGGATTAGGCCTACAATGTGTTTAATTTTGTTGTTTTTAGATAATAAACAACATTTTAAACATGATAATAATATTGTAAGATGAAGACAAATAATAGATTTAGATAAGCATTACGATCTACGCGGCCCACATGCCTTCAATTGGGCGATGTTGTATTCCTTGGCTGGCTAACGTCATTCCTAGGCCTAGCCTACGAAACGACTAGGCGAGATTGAAAGACAAGACGATTGTACACAAATCGTACGTACTGCATACCTATTATAAATAGTTATTGTACAAACAAATCTGTTTTATGAACCACCAATTTCCTTGGTTTGGCGACATACATGAAATTTAGTGTCTGCTGTAGCCTGTTTCAGTAAAAGTTTTTGACTTTCCAAGCAGTTTTTCAAGCGAAGAAATCTAGGCCTAGGTCGGCAAAAAATTGCTGTCCTGTAGCAATTCTGGCTCAGCAATATGGTCAGCAATTGCCGATTGCCGACATGAAATTCGTGGGCTGGATATTCCACTTTGTCACAATACAGTAATAAACTAGTATAGTACTATATTCAAATATTTGCCTCTGAAATCTTCATAATGATATTCTCTGCTCAAAAACACAATTTAATTCCCATAAACTTCTCAGATATTACCTTATGAAAGCTCCCAGAATGAACCCCATTCATAACTCCTCAATAAACCTCATCAAATTCTGTATTAACCACCCATAAATTCCTCTGTATTAGCCTCCAGACACCCCTTTAATAATAATTTCCACAAGCTTTTCTCGGGATATTATAAATCACATTATTAATGTTAAAAAACATGGTAATGATTATTAACTGTGTTCTGTATTCTTGCTGTGCATTTATAAGTAGAATGCAAGTGCGAAATGTTACCGGTGAGCATACATACTGTACTATCACAGATATCCAAATTGACAAATTCTCCTGATGCTACTTGAATATATTATAAATATTACTTGGATGTCTTCACAGCAGCATCCAATGATTTAACAGTTTGCATTCTTCCTTTAAGTTCCTTATAAAATACAAGCATTTTTAGCACCTGTCTCTGTAATTGACTGTGATTTCACCTCATATGTTTGCTTGTGTGTGGCTATGGGTAAATATTTGGGTAAGGCCCTTCAAGAAAAACTTTGTCAAAATTGATATTTTGCCAAGCAAGATTGAAAAACATTATATTTGATTTATTAATTAAATGTAGTTCTAGTGAAAGTGGATTTAATTAGATTTAATGCATGTGGGAAATCTGTTACATTATACCAGAATTAAATCAATAATTAATAAATTATAAAACCTATGTTTGTTCATTATGAAATGCACACTACATTATTTGGGGACCCCTTCTGAAACAAGCCTTCGGGCTTAAAGGCTTATCATCTGCTTCCTATGTTTAATTTCTTTAAGGGTTTTTTTTTTTGTGTTTATGGAGTTTTTCTGATCTTGTTTTTGTACTATTTTTATCGTTATGATCATTTTTTGTTTTTTCTTTATAATTATTTCATGGAAAGCAATAAATATTACTTACTAGGGAAACTAAGCTTATGATTGTTAATACATTATCTTTATTAAAAACTTTCATCTTTTATAGGCCTACTATTCTCTTTTTTTCATAAGGTGTAATATCATTGTCTTTACATGGTATGATATGCATGTTATAATAATCTACATTGCTACATGAATTCTTAGAAATTGAAATTGACAATCATATATGTTTGCTACTTAATAAAGCCAATTTTTATGATTTTTAAGTTGTTTTTTTTTTTCAAAACCACATACATAGTTTAGGTGCTGTATATGTGTATATGTAAAATGTGTTGGGAAGACACACACACACACACACTGGAAAAAAAAGTCATTGTCTTATTTAATGTAGAAAAATAGAAAAATGTTTGGCACACACAGCACTAAATGTATAACAACAGTTATGACTTACGGTACTCAATACAGTTGTTAAAATGGAAATGTATATTTACAGTACTGCACAGTTGTAGAAAATGTATACATGGTTATAAAAGGATGAAAATGTTAACTTTGGTCATGTCTTTATTGCCTGTTTCATTACATTTGCAATAGAATAGGAAATATGGCACTTAGAGTGAATAATTAGTATGATAATAACTGGGATCCCAACTTAGAAGAAGTCATTTCCAGGAGATCGTTTAAATGAGCTTTCTTTAATACATCTAATTTTATTTTGCTACTTTTGCTGATACCCATTGAAACTGACTTCCATGAGATGATTGATAATAAAGGGGTATACAGTAGTAAAACATGCAGATTTAATTTGTTTGAGGGAGATGGGTTATTTTTGCTTGGTTGCTTGGGTGTGGGAGGCCCTCCGAAAGACTACTGTGGTTTGCAGGAGACTGGGACCCTTGTAGTGATAGAAGAGGGGAGGCCAAAAATGATGAAAAGCTGATGATTGATGGATGGGTGAATCAATCAAGGATAAAGTAAATGGGTGGATGAATAAGTAGATAAACAGACAGAAGAATGAATGAAGTGATGAAAGGTTGAAGGTTAATTAGATTTTACAACTGAAAATACTGTATATACTGAACTGAATTGAATGGATAATAAATAAATAGACGGGAGGATGAATAAATTAAGGGGATCGATAGAAGAAAGGAAAGCTTAACAGATAGATGGATAGATGAATAATTAGATTAAAGAATGGATGAATAGATAGATGAAAGAATTTTGAAAAAGTCAATAATAGAATACTGTAGATGAAGAATGAAAGCAAAAATGATATGATGGATGAATCACTAGTTATTAGCTAATTTTGATTTTGTTTTTCATATTCCAAAAACTGAGTTCTATAAAATGGGTAATGGGTCATTTATTTTTCGCTTTCATATTCACAGTCAATCAATTTTTTATTACTTGCACTAAGTTACTTCTACATTAATATTCACATGAATTATTTGTCATTGTTCTGTAATTGTAACATGTATGTTTTGATAAATATCTGGCAAACTTCGTCCACACAGTCATGGCTTTAATAAAACAATATTTCAATATAATATGTAAGTAATTGTCAATAGTATACTGTATGAAAGTTTTTGTGTGTCTAACTGTTGAAAACATGTTTACTGTAAATCATTAACAATGATACAGTATGGTACAAGTGACATTTCTAATTTCGAAATCATTTTCATATTTGTTATAAGACTGTTATTTCAATGAAACAAATGGAGACTTTGTTCTAAATAATATATAGAAATCATAATTATACTAAATTTTATATTTATTTTATAGTATTTGTTTTACTGTACTTTAAAGTGAATGTTTCTCATCAAGTGCAGATTTCCAGTGGGAGATATTTGCTATCAACCATGTCAAATTATATAGTATAAATAATTTTCGTTACCAATTTGTTGAAATTGTTGATGACAATAATTACTGTATTCTTATGATTCTGGTATTATATGTCTCTTCCATTAATCTAACCAGTGGTTAGGTAGACACTTCCATTCCATACGTGAAATTATTATCCAGCTTTTTGTTTCTGAATCTGAATATCAATATGATTATTGCAATGACCCTGTTTACAACGTCACCTATATTGCAGTGTGCTGCCACAATGGCAGTCAAATAAATGCATGGAGCTGTTTTACTTCTAATTGATCCCCAGAGATCTGTTTAATGGACTGTAATATCATCAATTTTAAGAAGGATGTCAAACACACTAAATAGATCAGAAAATGTTTGTTCCAAGAAATGAAAATGCATGTTTTATGATTAAAATGTTGTTTCTAATTCAAAAGCTCAGTTACTATATTTGCCTGTTTCCTATCACAAGAAATATAAAATGTTTTGTATTAAAATGTTTGTATTAAAATAATGCACACATTGTGTCTATTGAGATATAGAAAATCTAGCAAATGCAAAGGAGAAATGACACATAACAATTACATGTTTGATTCACAAATTAGAAATTACATAGAACTCTACTGTTAATTTGTTTTTATTGCCATAAGAACACACAAAGAGCTGTGAAATTTCTTTTCCTTGCTACATGAAAATCGTTAATTGCCATTACCAATAAGAAAGGTGACGGTTGAAGATTTTTTAATGCAAGCTAGTATGTGAGGCAAGTGTCTGCGGTTCGATCAAAATTTATTGTTATTTATA